TGACTTAGCCTGCATTTGTACTCTTCTGGTTACATATCCTCATTCAAGATCAAGTGGACTCAGTGGTTCAATGGGATGTACAGAGCTCTCTGAAAGGCTTTTCCCCATAAAAATACAACACAGAGCCTGAAGGGCCAGCAGCGACGACACGACAGTCTCAGAGGCCAAAGGGTTCCCACTTTCACCTGGTGTTTTCTAACATGCCATCCTTGCGGGGACAGTTCCACTTCGCACTGCGGGCCAAGGGTGTGAGCATTTGCTCTGCATGGTTGCCTCCCTGGGCTGCTGTTGGGGAGTACTTGGATTTTATGAACTCTCAGGTGAAGCTGCTGTACAAGGACTCATCAATTGTCATTGTCAAATACGACACTGCCTGTTTCTTGCAAATTCAAGTTCTCCTTTATTGATAGCGGGTGTTGGTATAGACTGATTGTTTGACCTTGATTATACAGGAAGCTTTGTTCGTTGGTAGTAAATGACTATAAATTTGATTATTTTGTTTTTTTCTTTTCTGTGGTGTTGCGGATTGAACCGAGTCCTCATACGTGCTAGGCAGGTGCTCTATCAGTGACCTGCATAACCAGCTCCAGTTAAGACTTTATGTAAAAATAATGACTATAGTTCTTGGGAATAAAACTTTCTTAACATAATGTGTTTCCTTTGTAGTGCAATAGAAAGTCTTTTAATTCCTATAAAAACCAGCTGTAGTAATTGAGTCCAGTACCTCCTGCATATTAGCGTGAATTCTGTGGTAACCATCTTTAACTTGTTCGTGTTTACTCAGAGTAGAACACAGGACTGCAGTGGTTTTCCACAGTAGCTCACAGGCTGCACGGCCTGCCTCGGCCTTGCCAGGGCTCTGTCTAGATTCCCAGGAGGTTGGTGGGCGCGGACAAGGGCTCGGGCTGTGGGCTGTGGGCACAGGTCTCATGGCTGTGTTTACATTTCCAGTGTGAAGTGCCAGAGGGTGGACTGGTCCCCAAATCTCTGTATAGGACTGCGGAGGAGCTAGAAAACGAAGACCTGAAGCTCTGGACCGAGACCATCTACCAGTCTGCAAGCGTGTTCAAAGGAGCCCCTCACGAGGTATGCCTTCCGGGCCGCCCCAGGGGCCGCCCCAGCCCTGCTGCCCGCTGCCCGGCACCCATTAGAAGAGCCGCTGGTCTTTCTGCTCTTGGGTCTTCAGGTCCCTGATGGTCTATCTTGGTCAATGACCACGTGGAAGAGCGGGTCTCTCAGATGGAAAACCACTGTGTGGCCAAAGCCTTGAAGGGGGCCTGGTTTCTTGCCCTGTTTCGCTGGAGAGCCTTGACACAGACATGGGGAACAAGTGGGTCCTGTCGGAATCCTGCTTTCACCCCTGAGCTGGCTACTCGGTGGTCACCTTGACCAGGCTTCCCTTGAGTGGTCCACTTCGGTGGAGTTTCTTCAGAGCTCTGCCGGTTCCGTCAGTGCAGGGAGTGAGGAGGGAGCAGCCGGCCTCTGTTTCCTCTTCTTGCTGTCACACTGGTGCAAAGGCCAGAGTGTCCCTGCATGAAGTCCCCACGTGTCTGTAACAGTGCAGGTGACCTGAGTATGAGGGCCACTGCACAAGGTCCTGGGTCCTGGGTCCTGGGTCCTGGGTCCTGGGTCCTGGCTGGGTGGCAGCACTTCACACGAGGGGTGCTGGGTCAAGAGACTGCTGTCTCTGCCCAGGGTGGTGGCCAGGAGCTGACCCTTACTGCTTCTGCCATGGCAGCTCCCTGCTTAGCCACCTGCTGGTCATTGTTGCTGATGTCTTCCCAGCAGCTGACCAGACGGACCCTGGTGGGTGGACGATGAGGGAGGCTGTAGCCGTGATTTGAATGGCAGAGGAAGCCTGATGCGCCCCCTTTCACACTGTCCTGAGGTGATTTGTATGGATCCCTATCTGAGGGTGCGTGGCGCTGTGCTTGTCCCTGTTAGAAGTGGCCTGTTACCACACCTGCGCTCTGCTTTGGGAATGAGTGAGGCACAAGTCCAAGGCAGGACCACCCGGGGCGAAGCGGCGTGTCCTGTGCAGCAAGGAGGAGGGCATGCTCCATGGGCCTGCTCCTCAGTCTCCAGAGGGGCCGCGCTGAAGGGCACAGCTGGCCTCCAGAGGGAGCCACAGAGGCCAGTCCACGCAGAGCTCTGCCCAGCTGCTTTGGGTTCCCATGCCCCTCCCCCACTAGTCTTTGAAACTGACGCTGACCTCTCTCTGCTGGGGAACTATCACTGCAGGTTGAAGTCCGGGTTTTGGATGGCACTCGGCACCCCTAACGGCTCATCTCTTCCTTCCAGCTGCACTCCTGCATGTGGCCTGTGCCTTCCAGGCCTCCTCTGCTCTTCTCCAGGCCTGGCTGCTCCCCAGCCCCAAGCAGCCCCGGCCCCCTGTGTCCAGTTCCCCAGGCGTCCCGTCTTAGGTTGGAAGACCGTCTTTCAGAAAGCTGTCTGTAGATGCTGTTGGGCATCTTTGGAGGGCACACGCAGGTCATAGAGGCACAGTGGCTCACCTCCACGATGTGTAGCAGGAGCCTTTGGGGAAAGAAGAACGAGAGGGAACGGGCCCTGGAGGGCTGAGTGACCTGGGTGAAGGCACCACCCCTGCCTGCCTGTCAGTCCTGCCCGTCCCTCCTGCCCCTTCCTGGCTCACACCTCTGGGCCAGAAGGCCCCTGCAGGGCTTGTAAGCGCGGGCCTCACACGTGCGATTGAGTCACTCCCCCTCCTGTTTTCCAGATTCTCATTCAGATTGTGGATGCTGCTTCTGTGATCACTTGGGATTTTGATGTGTGCAAAGGCGACATTGTCTTTAATATCTATCACTCCAAGAGGTCTCCGCAGCCCCCCAAGAAGGACTCCCTGGGGGCCCACAGCATCACCTCTCCAGGCGGGAACAACGTGCAGCTCATAGACAAGGTCTGGCAGCTGGGCCGCGACTACAGCATGGTGGAGTCGCCCCTGATTTGCAAAGAAGGAGAAAGTGTGCAGGTAAAGTCACGTGTTCGTGACGCTCCACGGGGTCCTCCTTGACAGTGGGTGTCCCTGCTTTGCCCCACCCCGGTGGCTCCTGGAGGCTCTGCTGTTGGTGGAGGGCAGGGTGTGCCTAGCTGCCAGGCCAGAAAGACCCAGGAATCCCCGTGGGTCTCGGGCCCTGAGCGGGAGCTCCCACCCAAGCAGGGTGTAGGCAGCCCAGGACTCCCCTGCACAGAAGGGCCGTCTGGCAGGAGAAAGTGTATGCACACACAACTGGCCTTCAGATGACATGCGCTGGATGGGACTTGAGGGGTTGCCCTTGTCTTTGTCAGAGGAGAACCATAGAGAGGAGCAGAACTTAGGGAGCCACTTGCTGGTGGCCAGGCACGCTGGTTTACATCCAGATGCTCTGCGGCTCACCTCAGCCTTAAGGGTGCCACTTTCCGGTCTAGGCAGCCCTCCAGGTGCCTCTGGCCATCCATAGTAGAGATGGGATTTTGCAAGGTGACAGTTGGGAGGGGAGTTCCTGTGGCCTTCCCAGCTCTTGTTGGAGGCCTTGGGACAGGCCTGATCTTGGATGGAAGGATGTTGTCGAAGTCCTTCCTGATCGTGATCCAGATCGCAGGTCTCCAGTCCTGTCCCAGATGATCACTGACTGCTGTCGCGTCCCCATGAGGCCGGGAGACAGCGCCCCGGCACTTGGCAGCCCCACTGTGGGATGGGGCTTGTCAGGAGTCCTCCTCATCCTGCTTCCCCTGCTGCTCCAGGGCTCTCATGTGACCAGGTGGCCAGGCTTCTACATCCTGCAGTGGAAGTTCCACAGCATGCCGGCGTGTGCGGCTACCAACCTGCCCCGGGTAGACGATGTGCTGGCCTCCCTGCAGGTGTCCTCACACAAGTGCAAAGTGATGTACTACACAGAAGTGATCGGCTCCGAGGACTTCAGGTCTGGGCTCCCTCCCCACACAGGCGTCCTTGAGGGTGAGGGGGCTCAGCAGAGGCCCCAGAGCCAGCTGTGTGCAGCAGGGATGGTGGGTCCGGGCCTCCCCGGCAGTGCTGGGCCCCTTCCTTGGCTCTGACTGCACAGCTGTGGCGAGGGGTGTCAGGGCGGCAGCAAACGCAGCCTTTGCGTATGCGTCGTGTCAGCTGTGTGTGGGCCGGGGGAAGCTGTCCCTGGATGGGACACTCATGGCCCATTCCCTCTGACTGGGCGGTGGCGGCATAGAGGGGGCAGAGAGCAGGATGGGTGGGAAGCCCGCAGCAGTGTGGACAGCGGGTGCCTGTGGCTGGGTCCTCACACCTCTTCTCCTCCCTGCATCTGCAGAGGCTCGATGACCAGCCTGGAGTCCAGCCACAGTGGCTTTTCCCAGCTGAGCGCCGCCACCACCACCTCCAGCCAGTCTCACTCCAGCTCCATGATTTCCAGGTAGTGCCGCGAAGCCTGTGTCCACTGTGTGGAGGGGATGGCCGCGCCTCGACAGCCAGCTGTGCCGGCCGCCCACCGACGTTGAGCAGCCTCCTCTCGCCCTCTAGGTAGCTCTAGCCATCCAGATGGTAAACTAGCCACGCCGTCCCAGAACTGTCGACAGGTAGTCTTAACTCTGACCCTGACCTTAACTCAATAGCCATAGATTTTATACACAGCGTGCACAAAATCAAACCAGAGCGCAAGGGCTCTCTTGAAAGAAAAATGGTTTATATTGCCAGATAAGAAATTGACTTCGTCTCAAATATTGATGCAAAAAATTTTTCCAACAAGCTCCACCTTGTCCACTAGTGAATGACTTCCCATGACGTCTTCAGAGCCAAGCCCACCTTCTCCCAGGGAACAGAAGCCCCCAGCTGCTTGCCCTAAGCTGCACCGCAGTCCTTGTGGCTCCCTGTTAGTCGAGATGGTCGGTGGATCCGTGGAAGCCCCCGAGTCCTTTCCTCTGGAGGACTCGGGCAGCCTGTAGCAGCACCTAGTCCTAGGGCCGACCTGCTGCTGTTCTTGAGTGGGGCTGGTGGCTCAGGAGGGGTTCTCGGGGGCGCCCGCAACTCCGGGAAAATGCCACCATCATTAAACATTGCTTTCTCTCTCTCCTTTTCAAATCTTTCGATATTTTTCAGAGTAGAATTTTTCTGTCTGTGAACTTGGGTGGAGGTGTTCTCCCTTTCCCTCTGGGTGCCGCTCTTCCCACTGCAGGGAGGGTGCTCTGGGCTCAGTGCCACCCCTCCCGCGTGCTCTAGCAGCTCGCTGTGCTCGGCCACTTCTGCTCTGGCCATTCTTTAGAGGGTGTTCTGGAAACAGCCATATTTGCTGTTTGAAAGCTGTGGCAGTGAGTGTTAGCTGTCAGCAGGCTCCCGCAGTGTCACTTGAGGAGGGCATGGGGCTGTAGGAGCCCTTTGCGTTTGTAAGTGGAAACTGGATGTGTGTGCAGGTGCTTGTGGGTGCGCACAGCAGCCGGGTGATGGCGCAGGTGGGCAGCTGGAAGCTCAGTTTGAGTCGCAAAGGAGTCCTTGGGAGCAAATCCGAGTATGAGATCGGTTTGCTTTTTACATTTTCTTTTTGATTTCCAACTACCAAGCCTGCTTTGCCCTCTTACCCCGCTCCCCCAGTTTTTGATGAGAAAGGCACGTTATTTATGAATCTGTCCAGGAGTCACATAGGGTTGGTTGTGTGATGAAGACGTGCAATGTGTGTTTTGTGTGGCAGGGGTTTTTAAAATGTGCACCACGCCACACAGCCTTCACAGTCCTAGATCGCGGTGCTCTGACTCAGCCTGGGCATTGGGTGAGCGGCCATGTGACCAGATAGCTGTGTGGATGCCAAGTGTGCACCCCATGAGTAGGTTGGGTGAGCCTGGGAGAAACTGACTGCCCCGCTCCTGGCCAGAGGAGGCCTCTGGCTCCTGTGCCTGTGCACCTTGAGGCACACGCAGACCCCCCGGGTCCCGCCTGCCCTTGCCCTGTAAGGCAGCTCCCTGACACCGAAGCCTCGTTCCCAGAGCATGGCAGGGCTGGCCAGCACATCTGCGCTGTCAGAGCTTCCCATCTCCAGTTACAAGGACCTGAGGATGGTCCCTCTTCTCTCTCTTCCTGTCTCTCTCTCCCTGTCTCTCTCCTGTCTCTGTCTGTCTCTCTGTCTCAGATGGCAATTTTGCTGACAGCTGCCAAGAAAATGCTTCACTCACCCGTCCACACGTGCCCAGAGGTGTTTCTAGAGCATTTGACTTGCAGCCATGCCCCACCCCAGGCTGAAGACGCGTTCCTTTTAGTTGGTTCAGAAGTGGAACTCTTTTATCCCCAGAGAGCTGACTGTGTCTCTGAGACTTGAGAGCAGCATGGGACTGCACGGTGCCCGTGGCCCTCGGGAGCGTGGTGGCCCTCAGGAGCGTGGGGCCCCTCGTCTTGTGAGGGATCGGGCACAGGGTTCCCTGTGCAGCTGCGCGTCTCTCGATGTCTCATGCCATGCCGCTCTTGAAATGCTGCTGTCATCTCCCTTTGACGCTCCAATGATTCTGTTGATTCTTCCTTCCATTACTAGTGTCTTAATTCACTTTCCTAAATCCATTATTTGCATATCAGAATTCCCTAAATGTTTTGTAAACATATTACCTCACTCTTGGTAATACAATACTGATAGTCTTTAAAAGATTTTTTTATTGTTACCAATAATAAATGTGAACTGTTTAAGAAAAGAGTGTCTTTCTTATTGTCAAAGAGTCTCAGTGTCTGTCTCTCTCTCTCTCTCTCTCTCTCTCTTGGTACTGGGGATTGAACACAGGCCAGCCCTTTATATTTTTCACTTTGAGACAAAAGACAGTCTCACTAAGTTGCTCAGGTGCTTAGGACCTTACTGAGTTGCTGAGGCTGACCCCTAACCTCGGTCCTCCTGCCTTAGCCTCCCAAGTCACTGGGATTGCAGGTTGGCCCCACCACACCTGGCTTCAGAGTCCCTCCTGAGTGTGAAATTCACTGGAGACTGCAGAGCTGAGGGAAGGAGAGGCTTTCCAAGGCCAGAGGACCAGTGCTGCTCCGAAGTTCAAGGAAATGCTTACCTTGGCAGGACTGTCGGGAGAGTGGAGCTGAGCCAGTGCCCCTGTGAGAAGAGAGACCCAGTGGTGGCAATCCCGTGTCTGGAAGAAGTCATGCTGTGTCTCTTCTGTGGCCGTCATGGTGTGCTTGATGGGGTGTTTCCTTATGAAGCAGGTGCCTCGGGAAATGGAGCAGGCAGGCGTGGCCTGCGGAAGGCTGGGTTGCCTCATCCCAGCTCCCCTGCCATCAGTGGATCTGTAGGGACAGCGGAGCCCAGGCTGCGGAGTGGGCTCTTACCCTGTGTAGCACAGGGCAGGCTGGGAAGACCATGGCCGGCTTGCTAGGGCCCAGAATCCAGGGGTTATTCCTTTTCCTCGCTAGGGTCCGTCCTGGGGATCCGCCAAGGTGTCTGGCCATCATGTGGGGTGGGAAGCCTGGGCATTGCTGCAGCCTGGTGACGTGGCTCAGCCTGGATGACAAGTGTGTCCACAGGCAGCCGGACTAGGTAATTTCCTAGCCTGAGTGGCACCCACACCACTCGCTGTGACAGCCAGCTTTCTTCAAGGGGATGGAAGGCTTTTATGGAATTCTGCGTGTTCCTAAGCTGATGAGTCAGACCAGCTTCCCCATGGCCTTTGGCTTGCTGGTCTGGTACTCGGTGAGAGCCAGAAGCGGTATGGAAACAAGCCAGTCGGGGTTATCTCAGCCATCCCTTGACTGTCTTCAGAAAGTGCCCCTGGAAGGGAGTGTCCTGCACAGTGCTCCTCGCCATTCACCTTGGAGGACGGAACCGCGGCGTGCCAGATCCCTGTGGGAGCACAGGCTGGCCTTAGGCTGTGGCAAACCAGCCAGCACGGCCTTGGAAGTTAGGGCTAGGGAAGCCAGATTCTGGGAAGATGGTGGTGGCATCCCCACAGCCACACAACTAGGCTACAGAACCTAAAACCACGGGTAGGCTGAACTGTATGCTTTAAAGTCGCAAGAACAGCCACGCTTGTTGTATGAACAAGAAGGATATCCAGTGGACATGGTTTATGACAAAGCCAGGTGATAGGTGCCCCCGGACCCAAGACAAGCAGAGGTCAAACCACCAAGAGCCGTAAGATGCCTGTGACCCGCAGGTTCTCAGTGTTGGAGGGGAGGCAGGGGTTGAGAGCAGCAAGGCAGGCTGGGCTGGCCACTCCTGGAACCCCCGTAGCTGACCAGCGCAGAGCCCTACGGACAGGTCTAGGAGAAGCAGAATGGGCCCTTAGGACCCTAAACTGACCTGCCAGGACTCCCTCCTAGAACGGTCCCCTGCGGAGGAATATAGATCCAGAGGAGGGGACGAGCCCAGGGGGGTGCAGGACCCCTAAGAGCAGGTGCACATGGGTCTCAGACCCCACCAAAGATACAGGAGAGGGGGCTCTGAGCTAGAGACGCTGTCTGCAGCCCACCTTCTTCTGAAAGCTGGAAACGTTTTCACAGGAAAATGAGCATCCAAAGGTCTGGACGTCAAGGCCAGGCGAAGCCAAGAGGCACTGCAGGACACCTCAGTGGGGGACGTGTGCCTGCCAATGGGTGATGGCCCAGCATTAAGACTCGAATTTTAAAATGTGAACTAACTGACACGAAGGAGATGACAGGAGACGCAGGAAACACATGAGAATTAGAAAAACTCGGAGATGAGCTGGCACAATAAAACATCATGAATGAAAAAGATTCAGAAATGTGAGACGGCGAAACCCAGCAGAGTGTGGTTTTACCATCGGGAGGAAAGGAACAGATGGAAAGACTTAGAAAGTGGCACGTGGAAGATAAGCCAAGATCAAACCTGGGCGGCACTGGAAGAGTGAGACCCGAGAAGGACCAAAATCAGGAAATATTTTCGTAGACAGGCTGAGTATTTTTTGGTACTGGATCCACACCCCTGCCCTTGCCCATGCCTTTTTTTTTTTTTGAGTCGGGTCCTCCCCAAGTCCTGAGGTTGACTTAGAGCTCGCCATTCTCCTGCTGCTGGCTCCCTAGTGCTGGGATTACCTGTGTGCACCATGGTGCCCGCTGGATGTTTTTAAAGACTCACCTTGGGGCATTTAGGGAGGGAGATCAGGTTTTTTGAGGACTGAGCTTTAGGCCAGAAGCAAAAGGAATGATTATGACTCCTCAAGGGAAGAGTGATCCGAGGGATTTTTGTCCAGTCAACGGACTGCAGCTAGGAGCCCTGGTGCATCTGCCAGATTGTGTGGAAGAGCGTGTCCTCCGTGGGCCTTCCTTGGGGCTCTAGAGAAGAGGCTGCAGACAGCCTGCCTGAGTGCACGGGCCTGGTGGCAGGCTGGGAAGGAGGACAGGGTGCCGGGCGGCAGGTGTCCTACTACTGCTTTTTAGAGTAGAGGGAGCATAGGCAAACATTGTTAAGTTTTTAATGGTTTTTTTTTTTTTTGACCAGGGATTAAACCCAAGTCAATCATTAACCATTGAGCCACATGCCCAGCCCTTTTTATATATTATTTAGAGACAGGATCTCACTACGCTGCTCAGGGCCTCACCAAGTTACTAAGGCTGGCTTTGAACTCCTGATTCTCCTACCCCAGCCTCCTGAGCTGCTGGGGTCACAGACGTGAGCCACTGTGAAGTTTTTAGTGACTATGTTAGCAGCTTTATTAATACTGTCATTGGGCCAGGCCTTATGGCACCCATCTGTCATCCCAGTAACTGGAATCTCGGCAACTTAGCCAGACCCCATCTCAAAATAGAAATTTTTAAAAGAGTTGGAGACGTAGCTCAGATGTAGAACCCTCCTGGGACCACCCCTAGTGCTGCAGTGATGATGTTGTCATTGGGGGAGTGTTGATGTGACCATTATGGACGTTCTGGTTCCAGGGTCGTTCTTTCCCATATCCAGGCCTCTCTGTGGAAGACCCCCTGGGTCAGAGGCTGCCAGCTCTGTCTCCACCCTGAACTGGAAGGTTCCTGGGTGGTCCTGGGCTGCCCCAGGAACCACCAGGCCAACTGCCCTTTTCTAGAGGAGCACATTCAGGTGATAATAGCTTTTAACACAAGGAGGTGACAGTAGCCAGGACAGCAGTTCCATCTTCCATCTGGGGATTGAGCCGTGGTGTGGCAAGGGGCATGTGGCAGTCCTAACTAATGCAGCATCTTTTTGGCTTGTGAGGTTTCTTTATTTTAGGATAAAAAGGTTTGTTGTTTTTTTGTGTGTTTAGTTAGGACTTCACGTGGGTCAGTTCACCTGGAAGGAAAGTCAACAGTGGTTCTTTAACTGGAGATTCAAGTTTTCTTCTGATCAAGTCCTGGGACAGGGACAGCTGTGACCTGTGTGCAGGCACCGAGTTCTAGGGCTGCGTCTGCAGGAGCTCAAGTCTGACCCACATCCTGTGGCCTTGCAGGGACAGTAAAGCAGGGCACTCATGGCAGAGAGGGCAGCAGAGGCCCAAGCCAGCCCTAGTCCTGCTCGTGCCCTGGGGCTCTGGCTGCCTCAGTTCAGCCTGGCTTCTGCCGTGGCTCCTGGGACCTTGTGGCCTCCAGGCAGCTGGACAGTTGCCCGCTCTGCCCTTACCTTTGGGCTTAAGACCCAGTCCCCAGGACCTAGTTTTGACAGGGACATGGAAACTCTCAGGAGCCCTTCCTGGGTCCCTATGCTAGCCCCTGCTACTCACTGTCCATGAGAGACGCAAAGGACAGGAAAAGCTATTGCTGGGCGTGCTGGGCTCCTCTGGAGAAGCAGTGAGGGAGAGTCCTAGCTCAGTCTTGATGGACAGAGCAGCTGCCGAGAAGGCCCTGGCTCCATCCACTCCCCTGAGGGCATGTTGCGCCCAGAGCTGAAAACGAGGCCCTGCTGGGGCTGCTGAGCTCTTCCCCTTCCACGGCCAGCCCACACCACAATCGGAGGGACCCCATGCTGCAGTTGGGGGAGACAAGCCACAGTCCAGAGGGGGCCTAGGAAGGGGGACCTGGCTCTGCCAGGGTGCTCCTCCTCTGGCACCAGCTTGGCCTCATGTCACCTGGCCAAAGCCCTGGCGGTGGGACGACGGGGGCTTTGCTCCCTGGTCTCTGCCTGGGCCAGGGCCGTGGAGGAGCATCGGCTTCCGTGCCTGCAGAAATCCCCCCGAGTTTCGCGCCTTGGCCTGACTCGGCAACAGGGTTTCCAGGTGTTGGTCAGACATGATTCTCGTGTGCCATAGTTTTGGATCCAGAATGCCCCCCAAAGGCCATGTGTTGAAGGCTTGTCTTGGGGTGGCACTGTTGGGAGATGGTGGGACCTTTAGGAGCTGGGCCCTTGGCACAGGCCCAAAAGCAGGAGGGGTCAGCTGATCGTGGCCTGCAGCCTCCAAAACCATGAGCCAGAATGTGGCCTCGAATTGGCTCTCGGATCCGTCACTTTGGTGCCCAGCGCTGACAAGGCGGGTGTCTCTGGGTGAGTTCAGCCTCTGGTTGGTAGGTGGAGTGAAGCAGGCTCCTGATGGGGGTGGACCTCGTCCACCAAGGGCCTGACAAGCAGAAAGGCTGACCCTCCCCAGAGGAAGAGGCTTCTCCCACTGCCCCCTTAGAACAGGGCACAAATAGGACAGCAAAGGCACAGCTGCCCCGCAGGGCACTTGAGCACAACCCTGGGCCCTGGACCAGCAGGGCCATGCCCGCCCGTGTGCCAAGCCGGCTGGGAGACCGGCACAGGGAGCGGGGGGGCCTAAACTGGGGGCTTGGCGCCTCAAGGCAAAGCTCATGCATTTCTTCCCTCTTCAGGAGAGGACACGAGATGACCGCAGGGTATGAGACTAACGTGTCCTGCAGCTCAGGAGCCCTGGAAATGACCGGGCAGAATGCTGGTTGGGGTGAGCGCCAGATCGGGAGCCAGGGGGTGTGGCGGGAGACAGAGGGCCGGCAGGCAGGGCAGCACCAGGCTTTCCGGCGCCTTCTCTATTCTCTCCCCCAGGCTGGCCTTCTGTGACCGTCACCCACCACCCCCTGTGGAGGGCAGGCCTCACCAGGCTGGGACATCCGCCTTGTGTGGGAATTCGCCTCTGTCTAGGGCCCACCCAGGAAGGACACACAGAGACCTAGGAAGTGGCAGGCTCTGGCCAGGATCTGACCTCGTGCTTTCTTGGGCTCTTGGCCCTGCCAGACCGCTTCTTCCGTCAAAGCTCCTTGGTAAGCGCGTTACACGACTGTGCAATGGACACGCGCAGTGTACCCTCAACCCACAAGACGCTCACACCAGCAGGACTCACCTCCCCTGATTTTACAGGAAATTAAAACCAGAGTTTGTACAGACTCCGAGCCCCGATGGAGGAGGCAGCACTGCTCCTGAGGCTGGAAAGGAAGACCCAGCACCCACAGCTGTCCTCAGAGGCGAGGGAGGGCTGGCTGGCTTTGCAGTGCCAGGTGGTCCTGGAGCCTGTGGAGCCCCTGGTGCGAGACGAACCAGGCCTCCCTAAACCCACCCCAGACTCTAGCCTTGGGGAAAGACGAGGCGAAGGGCCTCTCCATGAGGGAAGGCCATGCCCCTCGGGCCTCTCCTGTGTGAGCATTGGTGTGTGGGTGCTGGATTTGTGCCCATTCTGCCCACCAGGACGGGCATGGAGCTCAGTGCCTGTGTGGTCCCATAGAGGGTCTGCACCCAAACTGCCTTTGGAAACTGGGTATACAGGGAAGGCTGTAGGAGAGGAGGGTGGGCAGCTAGCCAGCAGCTCAGGTTCCTGGGGACTCCTACCTTCTGCTGAGTCCTCGTCCCAAAGCCCACATGCTGCTTGCTCCCTCTTGGGACATGCAGCCCCCAGCCCAACCAAGCATTGAGAGACACCAGGACTGACTGCTTCTAGAAGGCTCTCGGCCGGATGGGAGGAGCCTCTGGAGACCTGTACGAGTTGGCCTTGCCCTTGACATGGCACCGTGGTGTGTTTGGAAGGGCCTGGTGGCTGCAGGGCATCAGGCCATGGTCCCATCCTGAACACCCATATTCTCTGTCCTGGAGTTGGGGCTGGCAAAAGGGTCACCACACTCTGAGGTGCCTGGGAATGGGCTCAGGCCACACAGGTCCTAGCCACCTGTTGCCCCGTGGCTCTCCCCAGCCCCTTGTGCTCTCCTTGGTGACCCCTTCCTGAGGCGGGCTGGGGGCAGAACATGGGGAGAAACCTGCCTGGAAGGCCAGGCCGTGGGGTTAAAATGGATGGGCAGGGTCTGCCCTTGCAGCCGCCCTGAAGGCCAGGGCAAGAGGGTGCCGAGGGCGGGCTGTCAGGCCTCCCCCTGGGCTGGATGCACCCACAACCTCCCCTGGGTTGTCCTAGGTGCACACTAGATGCTCAGCTGCCCCATTTTATATGCAGCCTCAAGATGAGCCAGGCCAGGTGGTGGTGGTCTCTGAAGGAGTGAAGGTCTAGGGGTCCCAGTGGCCCTGGGCTCCCCTGTTTCCTGGAGGTGCCTTGTTGGTGCAAAGCTCTGCTGCAGGGGCAGTGGCTCAAGTTAGGCCCTGGGCTGTGCTCTATCTTTTCAGCCTGCCCAGCCCTCACCAGGCTGCCGGCCTTGCCTCTGCTGTGCCCTGAGGCTCTTGCACATGACTTGGTGGTGTGGTAGCCCAGACTCTGTCTTGGTGCCCCTGACAGGCTTTTGTGCAGACGGGATGATGGTGAGACTGGCTCATCCAAGTGTCAGTTCTGCTCTGAAAGCTCCTTCCCACTCCATCCAGCCTGGCACTCCGGGGCCCGGCTGCGGCAAGGTTGCCTGGGCGCTGCCAGCCACAAGCTCCTCAGAGCCCTCCTCTGGCTGTGTCCTGCTCTCCCCAGCCCAGCCCCGTTACAGAGCTGGGGAAACTGAGGTCCCAGGACCACTGACCACCAGGTATTTCCCCACCGTGGGCCCAGCAGACCAGACACTCCTGAAGGGCTGCCGCAGAGCCTGGCAGGGGGACAGGCCAGGTGGGGAAAGCATCCTCAGCTGGAAGGCCTGGGGCCACCTCCCTGGAGCCCCAGCCCCATCCCAACCCAACTGGGGCCTTGTGTTCTGAGTTCATCTTCCTCCAGGCTCTAGATAAAAACTTTGCTTTTCATTCTGTTGGTATTTATTGAGCTACTACTCTGGGCACCAGGAATAGAACAGCCCAATCCCTACCCTGGAGCGGAATGGAGGAGCGGAATGTGCATCTGACGGAACTTCCTGGCCCAGGGGGAGGCACACCAGGGAGGGGCGAGACTGCTGTGGAGGGCCCTCTCCCCTGCAGGCCCCCCACCTCTCCCAGAGCTGTCTGAGCCTTTCTTCCCTTCCTGGTATTCAGTGAGCAATCCTTTGCCTGCTGACCTAAGCAGGAACCAAGGGTCCGCCTGCACTGGCCCTGGGAGATGGCGCCCTGCCTTTCCTGAGCTGGGGAGGGTGTAGGGGCTGCAGGTGCCAGCCAGGACGGTGAAAGATGAGACAGCTCTCCACGGCAGCTCAGCCCTGCAGGGTGCAGGCGGGGCTTCAGTGGATCGGATCCCTTCCTTGGTGGGCTGCAGATCAGAGGAGAGGTTTGGAGAGCAGGGTGGGAGCCCCAGTCGAGGGACCTGTGGAGGAGGTGGCAGAGGGAAGTGTGGATAAAGCTGTGAGCTCTCGGGGTGAGGAAAGGCCTGGACTGCAGGGTGCATTGCAAGCAGGGTGGGGGCCTCGTGAGGACCAGCCCGCAAACCCAAAAGGCCGTGCAGACGTGGCCACTGGTGGAGAGCCCTGGGGCCCAGCCTGGTGGGGTTTAGTGAGGGGTGGGGGGCAGGGAGCTGCTGAGAGCCATAGACATGGTGAATGCCTGTGTACAGAAGAAATCAGGCCATCCAGGCCCAAGGCCAGGGCAAGACAAGCAACCCAGGAGCAGGGAGCAAGAATGGTCAGAAGCATCACCAGCTGACCGGCTGCAGAGCCGTGTCACCATCTGTGGACAGATGGGTTATGGTCCGAGCTGGTGAATGGGTTTGCTGATCCTCAGGGGTTTCTGTAGGGGCAGCCCAGATCCCTGCTATGCATGGGGGTGCTTGGCCCCTAGGGTCCTGTGCCCAACTTCAGGGCTCTGCTGAGACTCGCCAAGGTATCACCAGATAGGCTGTTGGCTTCCTGCTGGTGACCTTTTCAAGAAACCTTCCAGGATGTGGGGAGCAGAGGGCGCAGGAGCTGCAGTCTGAGGGGTTTGCAGCGGGCCTGATGTAAGAGCACCACTCTCCACTGACCCTGCAGAGGGTGCAGAGAGTAGAAGGCTCTTGGGCTGGGGAAGCAAAATAGAGCAAGCCTGAATTTTGCAAAAATGATCAAGGACAGGACCTGTCTGGGTGCGACACCTGCTGATAGTCCCTCCATCGTGGCAGAATTCAATTTTGCAAACACAGGACTTAGCCAGTGTAGTGCTGGCTGGAGAGATGACCTTCATGGCAATGTGCTCCCGTGGGGGTGGTGACGAGCAGCAAGGCCCAGATCCAGCCAAGACCAGGGCTCCAGAGTCTTCCCCCCTGCGGGTTTCCAGCCAAAGTGGGGAGCGAGTACCAGTGATGTCATGTTGGTCTGTTCATCTTTTTTTTTTTGGAAACAGCAAAACCAAAATGAAGTAACTGAATCACATTGCAGAATAAATAATTGGACCTATTTTGAGTTGAATTTAAAAGTTTTTTAATTTTAGATTTTTGCAGTACTGGGGATTGAACCCGGGGAATCACACATGCTAGGCAAGGGCTCTTTACCACTGAGCCATATCCCCAGCCCTTCTACATTTTATTTTGAGATTGGGATCTCACTAAGTTGCCAAGGCTGACCTGGAACTTTCCACCCTCCTGCCTCGGCCTCTCTAGTAGCATGTACCACCACATCCAGCTTAATTGAAAATTTTATTGGATAACTGTAGATCCATATGCAGCATGAGAAATAATACAGAGAAATCCCTGGTACCCTGACTCGGTATCCCCCATGGTAACATTCTACAAGATTACAGCTCTCTCGGCCAGGCCTGGCATCAACGCGCTCTGCCAACCTTGTTCTGATTCGCCAGTTTACTCGTACCTATTCAGTGGGCATGCATGCAGTACCATAGAACTGTGTCCCCTGCCCAGGTCCAGTATCCACCACCATGGCCAGAATACAGGACACTGTATATATATAATATGTCAAAATATATTCTACTGTCATGTATAATATAAAGAACAAATTTAAAAAATTCTTACTTAAAAAAAGAGGGCAGAGGTGTCATGAATGGGATTAGCACTCTCACAAAAGAGGCTAGAGAGAAACTTCTTACCCCTTCTGCCCTGGGAAAGCAGATCCACATCTGTGAACCAGAAAGTGGCCCGCTTCAGATCTACTTGCGCTTGCTCTTGAACTTGCCAGGCTTCAGAACTGTTAGAAATAAATGTCTAATGTTTATGTCACAACAACAACAACAGAACATTGCCTCCACCTGCCTCGCTGAGTGCCACGTAGTCGCACCGCCCTGCCCCCATCTCTAGCCCCCGGCACCGCTCTTCTCCTTTTCAGAACATTTACCACCCAGAACCGCTGCATAGAAGGAGTCACAGGGTGTGCGCTGCTCACTCGTGCACACCGGCATGGCTGGACAGGGAGGCCCAGGGAGGGAGAAGCAGTACTGTGGGCATGCCTGTGAGGGCGCTCCCTGAAGAGATGGGCTTCCGAATCTGTAGGCAGAGTCAGGAAGCTCTGTCCACAGTGAGGGCAGGCTCCTCCAGCCATCCAGGGCCAATAGGACAGAGGGGGAAGAAGGGCAAGTCCTCTAGCTCCCTGACTAGACTGTCCAGCTTCTGTCCTCTGAGATTGGGTCTCATGGTCCTTGGGCCTTTGGGCTCGCCAGGATTCACGCCATCTGCTCCCCTGGTTCTCAGGCCTCTGGCTCTCCCAGGCCTCCAGCTCACAGGTGGCAGGTCTTGGGAGTTCTTGGGCTAATCCTGCCTATAGAGTCTCTTCCTAGGCCGGCCTCTGGATCCCCTGGGCCTGGAGGACCCCAGGAATGCAGCCTGCGGCCATCTGGAGCTGGCTGTCTTCACCCTGCATGGTCCCTGGAGACCTGTCAGGTGGCTGGGCACGTCGTGGCCCCTGCCTTGTCACTGCGGAGTGGTGCTCTGTGCTGTGGCGGGCCCGTGTGCTTCACACCTGTCCAGGTGAGTGGGACTGCCTCCTGTGAGGAGCTGCTGTGAACCTTTGTGCACAGGTTCTGGGTGAACACCAGCCTCCGCCTCTCAGGGATGAATGCAGGCGAGGGCGATGGCCAGGCCTCGTGGCCGTCAGCTGCACGTTTAGCTTTACAACAAAGTGCCAGGCTCCTCAGATGATGGCGGTGGAGTCATTCCTTGGTATCCCGAGCCCCCTGCAGGTCCAGGGCCCCTGCAGACACTAAAATCCACACATGCTCAAGTCCCTTATATAAAATGTCACTTTGCACAAAACCTACCCATATCCTCTCACGTACTTTAAATCACCTGCAGGTTACGTACAATGCCTAATACAAGGCAAGTGCGTGTAGACAGCTGTTCTTCTCTATTATTCAAGGAATCATGGTAAGGAAAAATCTGTGCACGTGCAGACACCGTGTTTTAGAGTCTTCTCTGTCGGCAGTTGGCTGGCTCTGCGGCTGTGGAGGGCGGCTGTCCAGTCTCCTAGGCCTCCAGGGTCTCGGGAGGCCCTGTGCTGTGAGGCAGGCCCAGGGGCAGATCACGGTGGTGCCCATCCACTTCAAGAGTGGGCACAGACTCTAGTGGGGACGGTCCCTCCCTCTCCTGTAGGAATTTGAGCCACTTTTCCTCTAGTCCCCCTGCCCCCCACCCTGTTTTAACTGGTCTTCTCTGAGGGACACCCACTGGTGACGGCTGCAGATGGCACCGAGGAGATGCAGTAGAAATCACCATCTCCTCCCGCCCATCTGCCACCAGTGCCCGCCCGCTCCCGAGAGGCAACGGCCGAGGACAGTCCTGGAGATCCCTCGGCCTTTTCTGGTCCCAGGAAAGCAGTCTCTGTGCACCATGCTGTCTCTGTTGGTGGCGCTCGGCCTGCGCTGGCTTCGTTCCCCTGGGGAGCCTCAGAGGTTTCCAGGGTGGCCCGGACGGGCTCAGGAGGTCCTTGGGCAGCACCCCCAGGCCTAGCTCTCAGTCCACTCTCCGTCCCCTCCCTGAGCCCCTCCTCTTGGTCTTCCTGGGTAGCAGATACTTTCTGGGGCCACCCAGTAGCTCCCTTGTTGGTGTGAGTGTTCCCTGAGTGTCCACTGTGAGCCTGGCAGGTCCAGGAGTGGTCACTGCACTGAGTTGGGAAGGAGGCCCAGGGAGCTCACCTGCTAGGCCTTGAAGGACGGGCTATGACAACCCAGGGTACCACACTGCAGGCGGCTGCTGCCTCTCCCATCCCTGGGCACAGCCTCTGCCCTTGGCTGAACCTGGGACGCGACTGGCACACAGCACAGCCCCGCAGGGTCGGCCCTGGCAGGAGATTGAAGGGAGGAGGATAAAATGGACTTCCTTGCTGCTTCCTGTTCGTGGTGGCTTGGTCCCAGCAGGAGCAGCCAGCTAGGCTTCAGCCGCCAAATTCATGGGCACCAGCCTTGTCACACAGAGTCTGCAGCAGCCAGTTCCCCAGAAGATCCTGCTCCAGGCCACACTTGGAGCCTGCTGCACACCTACCCACCTGTTACCTCTGGGGATCCGAGCACCCCCGGCTGCCTCTCATCAGAGGCTAGAGCTGTTCCAAGTGTCCCCACAAGTCCTCAGCTTCTGTCAAGGTCCTCCTTCTCGGCCCCATGCCACAGCTGCCTCCTGCAGGTGCTGATCCTGTGCACCTTCTGCCTTAACCTGCACAGCTAGTGTCTGCGACTCGATCCGTTGCTTCAATCCCTAGCACAGATCTGGTCCCCCGGCCTGGTCTGAGCAGTACTGTCCATCAGAGGTGCCACGTGGGAAGAGATCTGGGAGGAAAACGAGGAAGCAGAGGATGTAGGAGAGATTGCATCTCCAGTAGGATGACCAGGAAGGCCTCATGAGGAGGAACCAGCTAGCAGGTCTCCTAGGAAGAACATTCTGGAAAGAGAGGAGCTAATGTGAAGGC